TTTTTTTTTTTTTTTTTTTTTTTTTTTTTTTTCGGTTTCCTGAAGTCGAGCGTACGGCTTAAGTTTATACACGAGCAATGATCTAACTTACAGTAGTATCAGGTTTAAAAAGCCTTTAGACATTTTTTGACCGCAAATTCAAAGAAAAGGTTCCGAAGGGGTTCCGAAGATTATTTAGTTATGATTTTGGCTGTAAACAGAAAGCTCTGAGCGATTTCCTTGCCTCGAGTTCATCTTGAAAAAGAGCAAACACTGGGAGCCGGCTTAAAACATAAATAAGTTTATGCTTACCTGACTCATGATTTTCAGAGACACTTTACTCTCAATACTTCTCTTCGTGAATGAAAATTATTGTCTCTGTACATGTTTCGCCGAATTAGATTTATTTTATTGATTGTTAGTAGTCCCTCTCGCAATTTTTATCTCTGCACCGGTTGTTTCCAGTCGAACATAAACATCGCATGCAGGAATACTCAAAACGGCGCGCGTAAATGCCACTCGCTTTTAAAGATGACACATAACAAAACCATACACAGTTTAATAAATAAAGGGAAATAAAACCTAAATATAACAGTTTCTCTATCATGTTGAAGCATAAATGGTAACTCTATTAGTCGCACTGCAAATTTGGTGCCTGTCAAAAGTGAGAACCCGTCCGGCTGGCCGAAAAGGTGATTTTGAGAATTTTTTTATCGTTTTCATTAAAAGCCCGTAATTATTACCCTGCATATCACATAGGACCAGATTTTTCTAACTGAAAATCTGAGAATTCTCTTCATGACAACGTTTTATAATTCAATGCTATAATTTGTTGTGCAAAGGAAGCGCGTGCTTTGATCGTCGTGGATATTGAATTAGTGCAAATTCCCTTGCAAAATTGTGAAAAACTGCAGAATTATAGGTTTAAATAGGGCAAAAAAGAACAAATCTGTCCGAGGTCTGTATGATAAAAAAAGGGCCTCAGAGTACTGTTTACCTGAGACGTGATGAGAGAAAGTATGTTTAAAAGGCTGGTTACACGCCACCAGATTCGTCGCCAAGATTTACTAGTAAACTAAACTTGTCGAACACAAAAAATCCGGCCTGATTTTTTATTTTGGCCTCTCTTTTAGACAGAGGAATGCAACGTGTAAATTGGCTGCCACCAAGGACTATCGTGGCGCGTGTGTTTCTTAAAATCATATTTCGGTATTTCGGGATCATTTCGGTGGTGACCGCCGGTATCATTTCTGTGGTGGGGATCATTTCGGTGGTGATTGGGGGTCATTTCGGTGGCGGAGATCATTTCGATGGTGGGGATCATTTCGGTGGCGGTACAGGGGTTGTCCAATTATCCATAGTCTTTCTAACGGAGCAATGTTGGAGAGACTGGTGAATGCCACATTATGATGCAACAGCTAATGCAAATACAATACACGAATAGGTCTATTTGTTTTCCAGGCCTAATCTACTGTGATCGAACATGATTGCTATTTTTGGGTATACAAATAAGAGTATTTAATAACTCGATGTAAAATTTGTTTCACTCTTGGACTGTCAAATTATTTTTCTCTAAAATCACTTAGCCTTTGCCTCAAAAGTCAAATGAATATGCCCTGCTCTGTGGATTACAAGTTTATTGTTTGATTTAAATTATGAATTTATTAACGGGAGCTTCGCTTTTAGCCCTGGCTAAATCTATATATTAAAAATGAATGTTTACATGGTTTACTTAAGT